CTTTCCACCCACGGCCCTATCAGAAACGTTGCTATCAGAAACAATACCCGACTGTTTTGGACGTAATATGGTCAGTGTTTACATTAGCATCGCTAACACTCAGAGCTAACCTGTACTGAAGAGCATGTGTGTGAAGAAGCAGGAAATAAAAAGGAACTCACCTTGTGGTATAACCGGCAAGAGAGAAAGCCTTTGAGCTCCATACTGTTTCAGAAATAATCCTTGATAATCCATGATATGGCGTTTCATCACGGCAGTATTTAGTTTAGACAGTAGCTGCCGGGTCCCGCATGAGCTCAGCCCCCTCCTTTTTTAAACGCTTTATACCCCAAATCAGCACTTTTGAAACAGGAAGTGAAATAGAGGGATATGAAGCATGGCTAGAATGGGTGATCTGTTTGGTATTTTGAGCAAAACACTTCATAGACATGTTTCTTATATATTTTTATATATCTGAGACCTATGCTATTTCCTAAAAATAGCATGATAGGTGACCTTTAAAGTAGTCTAGCCATTCAAGAAAAAAAGCCCAACAAATATTCTTAAACTGAGATTTTCATACATGTTGTACAGTTGCGTAGATTGCACAGAAGATAATATACTGTTGAGTCGTTTCGATTGTGGCTCATAATAAGCGTGTTATTCTGTAACATCATCCATCAAATAGTTTTGCATTAAATATACAACATTTCCCTTTGTGCATAGGGTTGTAAATGGAAGTGGATTATTGGGATTTAAGCCTTTGCAGACCATTTACATGCACAAAAACCTATGCAACACAATACAGAGTAAAGGGAAAACTCAAAAGAGCATAATAGGTCCTACTATCTCAGCTTGTTCTGCTGTCACTACCATTACTTATATGACTGTTGTTGTTGCTCCTTCTCGTATATCATATTACTACTACAGCTATTTTAAAGCCACATATATTATTACAACCTCTAGCACATTTACTACAGCTATCATTACCTCCACTACTGCTTTAGCTGGCAGTTGAGAGATTTCTTTAGCCAACACACACAGAGAAGCTGGCAAAGAACAATGTGTCTGTGTGTGTGTGTCTATAATAGTTAAACTAAGAGTTATTTATTTACATTCACACCCGGATTTTCCGCATTCTACACATTCACGCGACCATATGCAGGTGAGACGAGAGCAGGGTTGAAAGTGAAATAGAGGGATATGAGGCATGGCTAGAATGGGTGATCTTTTTGGTATTTGGAGCAAAACACTTTCTAGACATGTTTTTTATATATTTGTATATATCTGAGACCTATGCTATTGCCTAAAAATAGCATGATAGGTCCACTTTAAATAAGCCCTACGAAGGCCTTGCATGTATTTTGATTTAAATCCATATTTGAAATGGTCAATACATTATTACCTGCATTGTGTCAGACAAGGCTGTGTACATATATATTTTAATATTCAGTATGCATTATGTCAAGTATACTTCATATTGTCATGTTTTAAATACACTGCATACTCACAACATGCTCATTGTGTGAAGTATTGAGTACATATACACTATTTAAGTTGTGGGAAAAAAGTCCTGACTTCTCATCAGGCATCCCAGATGTTTTAGAAACTAGTGACGACATGTGGAGTTTCCCTTACAGTGCACGTTGGTGTGTGTGTGTGTGTGTGTGTGTGTCAGTGTGTTTGAGTGTAAGGTCTGTCTACGATCCGTGTAACAGGCTGATTAGGGTTTTATGAGGTTAGAGGTCAACAGGAGCGGGAGGAAGAGTGAACTTGTGACCTCGGTGTCAAACAGAGGAGAAACTGTCCTGACCCGACACTCTCACGTTTACTGTCTCACTTCCACTTGAATTTATGTCGTCATCCCTCCTCCTCTTCTTCTTCCTTTCTGTGATGTTTGGGAATTGTTTCACACATTTATTAGATTATATTTGGGTTTTGTGGAGTGGAAACCAAGTTGTTTCCTGCAGTTAAAAGGAGAAGAAGGTCATGGAAATGCTGTGCAGGAGTCGTGGGATTTTTTTTTTAAACCTGGGCCACAGTGAGATTCTTGCTTTCTAAGGAATGAGGTTGTGATTATTTTTTTAAAGTTGTCTCATCTGAAACCGAGCGAACACAGCTGCTGTTTTCTTTCGTAATAGACTCTCCAGATATTGCTTGTCAATCAAACAAATAATAATAGTTAAGTGACTTTCAGCTTTGATTCCTGGTGGCTATACAGGGTGTCTGTGGGGTCTTAAAAAGTATTAAAAGTTGATAAATCAATTTAGCGAAAATTAAGGCTATTAAAAAGTATTAAACGGTATTTTCCAAGGTATTACATTTTGTAGCTTGTTTTCAATAAGTATATAAATTGTCCAAAGAGGTTGTATTCTACAGTCTGCCTGAATGTAATCATTGCGTAGGTGTGTAGTGTGATTCTGTGTAGTTTATTTATGGCATCCCGTTGGATGTGACGTCATCTGAACAGGACATCGCACGCTCACTGCTTGATAGCGCGCGAAGCTCCGTTTACGCCGGTTGTTAAACAACATCGTTATGGGGAAATGCAAGTTTGCGTCCAAATGGTTGGAAGATAAGGAGGAAGGACAATCAATACTGTATATAGTAAATGTGAGGTAAAGTGTGTCGCCAATGTAACCGGTTAAAACTCGAAGTGGCGATGAGGTCTTAAAATGTATGGAAAGGGTCTTAAAAAAGGTCTTAAAAGGTCTTGCATTTGACTTCAGGATTCCTGCATAAACCCTTATTGTTGTACTGAATGTATGCACAATTTAATAGCATGTGTACTTGAACTTTTATTCTACTTTATACTTGTACTTTGCTATATTTTATAGAGAAAATATAGAATTATCACTCCACTATAGTTCGATCACAGCTATAGGAATATTACACACAAAACATTTGATCAATAGCTCCACCTTAACCACAGCAAACAAGAAAATGCTTTATACACAGCGATGTCAGTAATATAATATAACACTCTTACAGGGGGTGATTATGTTGCCTTTACTTTTGATACTTTAAATAAATAGTCTGACAATTTGGGAAATACACTCAGTCAGTTTCTTACAGCTTCATATTCTGATATCTTCCCGCCATCTTCACTGTGAGGGAGTTGAGCAGGAAAATTGTGTGTGAATGCTTTATTATATTACATCTTGTTTATTTAATCCGTACAAAAACCGAAGTGTAAAAGCGAAAAGATTCATATTATAAGTTATTGAGCTTTAGAGGTTTTGATAGGCTGACTTTGTTAACTTTGGAAAGAGCCATGTTAGCTTTTTCCCAGTCCTTATGCTAAGATAAGCTAACCTGCTTCTGTTTGTAGCTTTGAGTGGCATACATTTTCTCATAATACTCTACAACAGAAAGACAATAAGTGTATTTTCCAAACTATTCCCCACAGTACATTCCGTTTTTTTTAATACCTTTGTACTTAATGCAGGACTTTTGCTTATAATGGAGTATTTTTATAGAGTAACTTTGCTTTTTCTTGAGTAAAATACTTCTCTCTCTTTGTACATAAAAGACAACATCAGCTTTGTAGCGTTATTGCAGTGTGGCACTATTGTTTCTGGCTTCTCTCTCTGTAAACATGCTCCACTTTGAATTCCCTCTGTATTTTATTCCTCAGTTTTATAATATAATCCCTCCCTCTCTCTTTTCTGCCTCTCCTGAACCCGTTGAACTGCCTCCCGCCGCACCCTTTCTCCCCACTCACTTCCTGTTTAGAGGAACACTTAAAGGATTGTTCCTGCAGCCGGGGGCAACGAGGCCTTGATGTAGAGCAGCCACCATCAGCTGGAAGCAGCCACATAAAACTACAATTATACAGGACCTCAAAAAACTGTGTCTGTGCATGCACACCAACATGAATAAAGCAAAAAGCTTATGAGAGATGAGAGACTTTAAGGAAGCACGCATGAGGAGACAATGCCTTTTGACACATTGAAGCTGGTATAATAGGTTTAACAAACAACAGTTGTGTGTTGCACTGTTGGAGGAGCCTGTGACCTAAGATTTTCATTGTCATAACTACACTGTAGCTATGTTCGTATGACCAATACAAGCCTTGAACCTTGAAGTGTTAAGTGTTGAAACTTTGCCTGTAACTCATCTTTAACACATGTATATTGGATGATAAATTGCCTCTTATATACAGGGTGTCTGCGGGGTCTTAAAAAGTATTAAAAGTTGATAAATCAATTTAGCGATAATTAAGGCTATTAAAAAGTATTAAACGGCATTTTCCAAGGTATTACATTGTTTTCAATAAGTATATAAATTGTCCAAAGAGGTTGTATTCTACAGTTTGCCTGAATGTAATCATTGCGTAGGTGTGTAGTGTGATTCTGTGTAGTTTATTTATGGCATCCCGTTGGATGTGACGTCATCTGAACAGGACATCGCACGCTCACTGCTTGATAGCGCGCGAAGGTCCGTTTACGCCGGTTGTTAAACAACATCGTTATGGGGAAATGCAAGTCTGCGTCCAAATGGTTGGAAGATAAGGAGGAAGGACAATCAATACTGTATAAAGTAAATGTGAGGTAAAGTGTGTCGCCAATGTAACCGGTTAAAACTCGAAGTGGCGATGAGGTCTTAAAATGTATGGAAAGGGTCTTAAAAAAGGTCTTAAAAGGTATTACATTTGACTTCAGGATTCCTGCATATACCCTGTATATAAAAACATACCTCAAGTTTATTTATTCAAATAGCACATTTCATTCAAACATGCATTCCCAAAGTGCTTCAAGATAAAACAATAAATAACATTATGCAAGACTAAAAGTTAATGGATTGATTTCCAAATCTTCACACATTTTAAGCTTATGTTAATATTTGTTATTAAATGTGGCCATAACAGATCCTTAATTTATATATATATATATTTTGTAATCTAAATGAGTGTATATGTGACCGGCCTAACATATGTATCTATTATATAAACTGAGATAAACATATCCACTTTGTAAAATTCAAAAATTAAATAAGATGTGTGTGATCTTCCGTTACAGGCGGAGCGTCGGGCGTACATAGAGGCAGAGATGAACATAATGGACGCCCAATCAGAAGCCATCTTTCAGAAAGAGGAGGGGCCATCAAGCCCGGCCCCGCCCCCTTCACAACAACACATCGCCCCTGCCTCGCCAACAGTTGCCGTGACGCCAGAGCCCGGCAACAGGGTGGAGCGGGCCACGCCTCGAGAGGTGGAGTACCAGGTGAGAGATTAATATTAATAAATATTCATACAGGACTTTTTAAACTAAATACTGTACGTCCCCAATTAGGACATGGAACATATTACAACAATATAAGATGCATATGAACATGTTACAATAATATTAAAATGCATAAGAGTTAGCCGGATACAAAATAAAAATGTCTAAACATTCGTGTCCCACAATATTTAATTTAATATAAAATGTATGAATTAGTGCCGCCAAGTTGTCATCATGTGCACACAAGAAGAAAAATAAACCGTTTCATAAAAATAACATTTTTTTTCACTGCTTTACTTTAATTGATAACAGCATAATTATACATCTGGAAATTGTATAGCACTTCTTTAAAACAATATTTACAAAGTGGTTTAAATACAATAAAACCCAGAGGCAGCAACAATACATAAGGTCATCAGAAGGAAAACATGTGCAACTTAACACACGATAAACAAAGATTAAAATAAGAGTGATTCACATAAAACCCTTTTCATAACATTGCTTTTAAGGTGTGTTCAAATCAACTGTGAAGACATTGAAAACTTTCAAGGCTAAGAAATGTTAGATTTAACACTTTGTATGAGATCGTGCTAAAGTGCTTAACCCATAAGGACCCTCGGTGACACACCCTGAACAGTCTGGTGGGTCATGGGCCAGGTCATGTGACTTTGTGTTCCCATGACAACATGTCCAAGATGTGCCAGACTAACACATGTGACCAAACTAGCTACTTTTCAAAAGCTTTTTTGTTTGTTGCTAAAGGTAAAATTCAAGCCATTTAAGAATTGAAATGCTTACATAACATGTCCTTTATTACATTTAACCTGTTGTGGAAACATTTCTTGATCCAATTGATATGAAACAAATGAGATAAATATCGCTGAGTCACATCGGGACTTTAACCCTAAACTTTCACAGTAAACCCGGAGTGACATATATGCACAATTAGAAATATGATTATGATCTGCTCAGTTCATTTAGCTGATTCAATTATATTTAGTTAATATATTCTTTATTCTTCAATTCAAAGAATGTTCAAACTCATTTAAACCAACAAATCATCCTCGTTAATGAAGTTATATATAAGAGTTACTTTACCATTAAAGCCCAATGTCACATATATGCCACATTTCAGATATTTAACACTAGTGGGGGTTCTTGTCAGAAATGTGTTCTAGGTGGTCTATTTAGTCTAAATTATGTTCCCCTTAATTTTCCCCAAAGTAGAAATGGGTCCGGGTTCTTATGGGTTAATATCCGCTTTGTGTTTGTTCTGAAACTTTTCAAATACTAAATAAATATTTTTTACAAGGTCGAAAATGACAAAATGTATTAAAAGCTAAACCTTTTAGTCTGGGTTCCTTTATAACATGTCAGGCTTTTATAATGAATTTTCCAAACAAGCTTTGAAATAAACATTTCCTTTATTTTATTAAACAGACTCTAACATTCAGTGTACATTTTAATACTAGTTGAACATAACATTTTTACATTTGTATGTGTTTTTATATGTTAGTTATTGTGCTTTTTATCATATTTTTAATTATTGTTTTATTATTTTACTCCCATTGTGTTATTTTGTATTGTATTTATTCCCTGTACAGCACTTTGGTCAACTGAGGTTGTTTTAAATGTGCTATATAAATAAACAATGATTGAGATTGAGATAAATAGTTTTCGTATGTCGCAGTGTTGGAACTGTCTTCACTGAAACCATACTTTAGATTTGAGTCTATAATTATGTATACTAGAGAATGCTACCTACTGTATAGTATCTTATATCACGAGTTCTGGTTTGAACTGGTCTTGTGTTCTGCGCTGACAGGACGGCCGGGGTTTTGGAATCGGTGTCTTGGTGTTCGGGAAGCTGCGGGGTTTCTCCTGGTGGCCCGGCAGGATCGTGTCCTGGTGGATGAGCGGCCGGAGCAGAGCTGCAGACGGCACTCGCTGGGTCATGTGGTTCGGAGACGGAAAGTTCTCTGTGGTGAGGAAACCCTTGGAATAAAATGATTTGATTACTGGTGCACAGTGGGGTTTAATCCCCAGTAGAATCACATTTCAAGTTCTTCCACAAAGAGAAACAGAATATGTTTGTTATAGCTAAAATGCCAAATGCCAAAGCTTAATGTCTTCACCACCCTGAGCTCCACTTTTCTAATTTAATGCTTTTATAGACACCAGAAAACACTTTCAGTCAAAGCATTCTAATGTTTGTTTTAATTCAACGCTACATCGTTTTTGATCAGAAACAAGATTACCTCGATTTTATTTTGTGTGATTTATTCTAATATCTAATTTATTTATTCTGATATCTAATGTGATTTTATAAAACGGACAAGTCAAAGCAAGCAATCTGATTGGTTCTTAGCCGTGATATAATGAGCGTATATCACGGGTAGAATTGTAGTTACTTTTCACAAGTCAGTATCCCTCCGCGTCTGAGAAACGCTACAACTGTTACAACTGTTACATTACGTCCGTTACGAAACTAACTAACTAACAAAGCTCAAGATGGTAACATGTAAGGGATAATGTGCAGCAAGGACTTATTGACCGTTGTTAAGAACGCTCACATCTGCAGAAAGAAGTCCGGTCGATTTAACTGTATACAGTTGGGCTGGGACAAGAAAACAGTGGAGAAGTAACGGGGTTTCTGCCCCGTTACTTCTCCACTTCGCGTCGGGCCGAACCACGCCCCTGTGATATAATGACCACATACCACGGCCTGTCGTGAGCTATTGCTTAATTAGAAACCATAAGTCAGATACTCCTAAAGAATTTGTTATGATACTGGTTAAAATGTCTCTGCTTTTTATTTAGTTATAGTTTATACTAGTTCCATATGTTCTCCTATTTTAAATCTTATTTTAATTCCTCTTACTTACCTAAAGTCCCGTGCCTTGATGAGACATCTTTCCTTAAAATACATATTGTTACCGATGCAAACAAAATGACCTTAGTGAAGGATTTCCAGGACCTCATGATGTGTTTGTTTTGCAGGTGTGTGTGGAAAAGCTCATGCTTCTGAGCTCCTTCTCATCTGCCTTCCACCAACCCTCCTACAACAAACAGTCCATGTACCGGAAAGCCATTTTCGAGGCTCTGCAGGTAAAAAATCTACATTTTAACTCCATTTCAGGGTTATTTCTGAAGTCTGGTTTGAGATAAATCATGTAGCTCAGGGTGTCCACGGGGTCTTAAAAAGTATTAAAAGTTGATCAATCAATTTAGCGAAAATGAAGGCTATTAAAAATTATTAAACTGCATTTTCCAAGGTATTACATTTTGTAGCTGGTTTTCAATAAGTATATCAATTGTCCAAAGAGGTTGTATTCTACAGTCTGCCTGAATGTAATCATTGCGTAGGTGTGTAGTGTGATTATGTGTAGTTTATTTATGGCATCCCGTTGGATTTGACGTCATCTGAACAGGACATCGCACGCTCACTGCTTGATAGCGCGCGAAGGCCCGTTTACGCCGGTTGTTAAACAACATCGTTATGGGGAAATGCAAGTTTGCGTCCAAATGGTTGGAAGATAAGGAGGAAGGACAATCAATACTGTATATAGTAGGGCTGTGCAATTAATCGTATTTTAATCGCAATTACGATTTTGGCCTGCCACAATTACGAAAACAACATAATCGAAAAAAACAATTATTTTGCTTTGCTAGGTTGTGACAGTGCAACATATTTGATCTAATTAATTTTGGTCTCATTTATTTGTATTTATCATATTTATATGTGTTTAGTAGCTTGTGGAAGTGCGCTCCAAAATATTTGTTGATCTTGTTTATTGGTATTTATTATTTTGATATTATTTTTTTTGTATTGGTTTTTCAGTTGAATTATACGGTCAGGGTAATCAACAGTTAAAAAGATACTGTTTAAATTATTATTTGTATTTGTTTTAAAGTTCAATAAATAGATTTTTTCAAAGTCAATGAATAATCGTATTTAATAATCGTGATATCAATTATTGACCCAAATAATCGTGATTATGATTTTTGCCATAATCGCACAGCCCTAGTATACAGTCAATGTGAGGTAAAGTGTGTCGCCAATGTAACCGGTTAAAACTCCAAGTGGCGATGAGGTCTTAAAATGTATGGAAAGGGTCTTAAAAAAGGTCTTAAAAGGTCTTACATTTGACTTCAGGATTCCTGCATATACCCTGTAGCTATACTTATTTGTTTCCTTAATAGATAAAATGAACATCTAAAAGACCAAAATAGAAATGTGCAGGGTGAAAGTTCACATTTGACTGCTCCTACTTCCTTTTTATGTAACAAGCTCTGCATTTGTGGAGGTGTTGTTTCCTTGTAGCTCTGCCCTATGTTTTTAAGTGGGAACATGTGTGTACATCTCATATATCTGTGGGATACACTTCGATCCAGCAGTGCTTAGTTTTGTTTTTCTAAGTAATTCAGAACACATGGTCATTGTTTTCTCTACGGAGTCATACTGAGTCGTTATTCACTCAAACTTGTTTAACATTATAAACAAGCGGCAAAAGATTTTGTACTTTGAGTAAGAAAAAATAAAGTAGAAAGAACGTGAGGTCAAAGAAAGCTATTTGTGCTAAAAAGTTAGCAATGATTGAGGGTCAGACCTGTATCTCCCACTGCACTGTAACTTGTATTCATGTACCTTTGTTATTCATGTTTTATTATCTTTGCTTTTAAATGCCATTTCATAATATGTTTCTTAATGTCTTTCATTTCTGTAAAGCACTTTGAATTGCCTTGTGTTGAAAGGTGCTATATAAATAAACTTGCCTTGCCTTTGATACTTCAAGTTCAGTCATCATTTCCATATTTATCCTTCTTATTATCCCATGTCTTTCCCTCTCTGTGTGTAGGTGGGTAGTGTGCGTGCGGGGCGGCCCGTTCCCTCCTGTGATACGAGCGAAGATGCGGAGGGGTTGGAGATTCAGACCCGACAGATGATAGAGTGGGCCATGACCGGCTTCCTGCCCAACGGCCCGTCATCACTGGAGCCTCCAGAGGGTAAACACACACATCTCCTTTTGATATATCATTCATACGGATCATTTTTTGACACAGTGGTCTTTCATGTTTTTTAGGCAAAGGAAATGTCCTAATAATTGTTTCCAGGCACTTCCCCTTATTTCAATTCATAATTCGTTAAGGGGTCGGAAACAGGGGGATGATTTAAAGAAATATATAAATACCTATTCCCATGTTCTTATATAGATACACACATACTCATATACATAAACATACATACTTGACATACAGTCAGCAGGTATGCAGTAAAGTGAAGGAAAGCATGCTCAGTGTTTTGGCCCGAGTCAAAAAGTAGCATTGAAGTTGTATTTTAGGTTTTGTTTTTGCGATAATCAATCAATTTTCTCCATCTATTATCAGCTATGTGTCTTTGGTTTCTAATTCCATATGTTATCTTTTCCAAAATATACACTGAATTATTTTAATTTAAATATTAAACCCTCACATACTGTAGGCATACTTACCAACCCTCCCGATTTTCGCAGGAGACTCCCGATTTCATTGCCCTCTCCCGGTTTTCTCCCGGGGTCATACATTATTTCTCCCGCATTTCTCCCGATTTCTGACTAAATCAGATTTAGTCACGACTGTTTCTTTAATACAGCTACACCATTGTTTGGTTTCCATGGTAGCGCGTCTCTTTAGTAGCGCGCGCAACTGAAAGTCTGAGAGGGTGAGAAAGATAGTCACAGAACACAGAACAAGAATCGACAACTCTACCCTCTGCTCACTCCTTTCCGGCTATCCACTAGAAGCCCCCCCCCCCCCCCCCCCCCCCCCCCCCCCCCCAGCTATCCACTAGCACCCCCCCCCCCCCACGGTGGTTTTGAAATGCTCCCGATTTCTGAGGTCTTAAGGTTGGCAAGTATGACTGTAGGATTGGTCTGGTAACAAATGTACAAATATACTTTTTTTACGCAATAACACACAGCCACTAATACAACATCAAGGATAGATGCCTCATTTCAAATCTTCCCGTGCAAGTCTTTTAGCTTAAATTGTTCCTATGATTGCTAAAATGTTATTTTAGGTAGTTTCCTCCATACCCTTAGCTGCTGTTACGTCACTATCGCCTCTCCCATTGTGTTATAACTCTCGCTGCCAGAGGGGGGAGACAAAGGTTGATGCTTTAAAGGCAAAGGCATGGTGGCTGTGTTAGGGAGAGGGGGAACATGATATTGTTCAGAGGGAGATGCACACTCTTTCCTGGAGTAGATCCAACGTGTTGCACCAAATAAACCTAAAAGAGACGTTTTAATCCTGCAAACTGTCTCTCTTTTGCACGCCTTGCCAGTAAACAATCCAACACTTTGTGTGAAGCATCTTCAGTCTTCAAATAGCCTGCAGCAGTGACTCAACAACTTCAAACCATTTCCAGTGTTTTATTTCTCCAAAGTCACAGTCATTACTCCCATTTGATGTACCACTTAAAGGTCCCCTATTATACTGTTTTTCATCAATATATAATAAGTCTCAGATATATACAGAACATGTCTCTGAAGTGTTTGGCTCCAAACACCAAACAGATCATTGCAGCATCCCATAATCCCCTCTGTTTCAGCCCTGTTTCAAAAGTGCTGATTCTCTGTCTGTTACTTTAGATGAAAATAAGGAGCCACTCCCCACGCCCCTTAAAAAGAACACAATAGGCGCTTTCACACCGGAGTACTTTGCCGTACTTAGTTCATCAGAACTCAGTTCATCAGAACTCTTTAGTTCTGATGAACTAAAGAGCAGATCGCGTTCACACCGGAATAAGTCCCTGGGGAAGGATTAGTCAAATGAAGCCGCTGACGTCACTTCTTCTTCTTCTGCTTTGGGTTTACTGGCAGGCCGCAAACAACTTCACGGCGTATACTGCCGGACGGAAGTCCCCGGAGTTGGGGACTGGCTTCAGTAGAAGCTGCTGGGACTCCCAGCAGCTTCTACTGAAGCCTTCCGAGTAAATCGCCAGAACGCCGACACCTCCTCATCTCCACCACTCCCATGTTTTCTTTTGTGTTGCCATAAGTTATTCTCTCTCCGTTGGTGCGCAGGGCTAATGCTAATGCTAATAATGCTAATGCCGGCAAATACAATGGCGGCTTCACAAAACTTTTTGGGAGTTTTACGTGGTTTGCAATTCGCCCAGCCAATCAGAGATGGGAATTTTTTTTTCCCATGAAAGTACCTGCTCTCTAGCAGGGACTGAAAAGGGGGTGAAAAGGCTCTTGAACTAAGTTCTAGTTCCGGATTCTTTTGGTGTGAACGCACATTTTCGGAACTATATCGGAACTATACTGGGAAAAGTACTCCGGTGTGAAAGCGCCTAATGGTGCTCTAGGAGGAGATTCAGGTGATAAGGTGGGGGGGGGAGTTACCTTGGTTGCTGATTGGCTAATGGTTACACAAGCCAAAACATCGTTATGACATCATAAAGTGGCCTAAATCTGATCAGCTCATTTTCAGACAGGTTTTTATATAAATGGATCAGGACAAAAAGAGAGGGGGTCTTTGTTCCTGAAGCTTTCAGAATCTCTTTCCACATTTCTACATGTTGATGTAGAAGAGACATGACAAAGTGGATTTTGCATAATAGGTGACCTTTAATACGATGTTCATTGTGTTCCTGTATCCCTGCAGAGGAACAGAATCCATGTAAGGAAGTCCCCGTCTTCCCAGAGATGTGGACGGAGCCGGAGGCCGCGTACACGCCTCCACCCACCAAGAAACCACGCAAAAACGCAGCGGAAAAACTAAAGATCAGAGAGGTGATCGACGAAGGGACCAGAGGTTAGCTTAAATGAATTCACAACCTCTCTGTATGGTTATTTTTTAAGTAGCGGAGTTAACTCAGAGAACATCTTTAAAAAAATGCCGGTGGTTAAACATTTTTTTTCTTTTCATAGTTTTCCTACAGAAAAACATCCTGAATAATATATCAGAATTGTTCTGTTTTGACAAAAATACATAATTGAACTCAAAATGTAATTATGTTTTTATTAATATATGTAATGTTGACAGTCTTTTGCATGATTCTGTATAGAAGTGATTGCCTTGTTTATGAACTGTCTGCATGTTTTCTTATTCAAAATTGATGTTTTCTTATGTTGTTCCAGAGAGACTCATATGTGAGGTCAAACAGAAAACCAGGAACATAGACGGTAAAGTTTCAGATTGTTCTCATACTTGTTACATACTTACATTAATGTAATCAAAAGGCAAAACAAAGAGTTGAATATAACAATGTGATGTTGTCTGTGTTCAGATATGTGCATCTCCTGTGGAAGCCTCAACGTCAGCATCGAGCATCCTCTGTTCGGAGGAGCCATGTGTCAGGGCTGCAAAGTAAAGAAAAGAATATATATTATTTCATTCTTCTTTTCTTTAGTTAAATGTATTCAACCAACATCCGTCTACACCCCAACTACGACATATTCATTCTTAGAAACAAGATTAATTTTGTAAGAATTGTGCAGAAAACCCGAAATATAGCATTCATAAGTCCCATAGGGCAAAGAGAAGGGGTTAATCGTGTTGTAAAGTCTGATACAACATAATGTGTAATGTAATGCTGTAATGGCCGGGAAATCAATAATTGGGATTTGTTTCAATTGGGACATTTAGACTTTTCAAGCCAAAATGGTCCCTAGTGAGGTACAAGGCAAACTAGGCTAAAACATTTCTCAATCACAGCGGAAGTTGTATTTCAAAAGCCTCAAAGAAAATGTGTTGAGATGTTACACAGACACATGGAAACAGTGGAAATCCAAGACGTCATAATGGCTGACAACAAAGACTCTCTCCCTCTCTCTCCCTCTCTCCCTCTCTCCCTCTCTCCTGACCCTGTGTTGTTGCCGGGCAGAACTCGTTCCTGGAGTGCGCGTACCAGTACGACGACGACGGCTACCAGTCCTACTGCACCATCTGCTGCGCAGGAAGAGAGGTGCTCATGTGTGGAAACAACAACTGCTGCAGGTCAGTACACACTGTGTGTATTCAGACATCCAGGAGAAGATTCAAGGTTCAAGATTCAAGGCTTTTATTGTCATATGTACATACGAGCTACAGTGTTGTTATGACAATGAAAATCTTAGGTCACAGGCTCCTCCAACAGGGCAACAATAATGAAACAGATAATAGTGCAAGTAAATAAAATAAAATATAATATAATATAAATAGTGCAGAATAGTCTATATACAAGTAATTGGAATATTGATATATATATAAGTTGCAAACAGATGAATGTTACGGATGTTCTTTCAAAAGTTCAGGTTTTTATTTCACATCGACAGAAACAATTTACCGATAAATGTCAACGATGATAAATGGCCCCTTGTTTCATTTGTAATTAAATCAGACAACACATATCAGATTTATGTTTGTGAATATAAAGTTTATTTTGACCTCCAGGCTGTGACCTCCAGGCTGTGACCTCATCAGCTCAACACAGCAGATACTTAGCCATGCTGTGGTGGAAGAAAATACACTTGAAGTACTTAAAGTAAAAGTAAACATTAAGCAGAATGGCCGATTACATCATAACATGTTGGAGGCGTGTGGCGCAGTGGATAGAGCTTTGGTGTTCGGATCAGGGGAGCACAGGTTCAAACCCCACTGCAGTCAGCATGTCGTTGTGTCCCTGGGCAAGACACTTCACCCCAAATTGCTCCTGTGGGGATTGCCCACAGTATTGACTGAGTATGTAAGTCGCTTTGGATAAAAACATCTAGCAAGTAACATGTAATGTAATGTAATAACATATATCTATAAATGTATAAATGTCATCGTAGGATAATTAGTGATGTAATAATCTGTAAGCGTCACCATTTTTACAGCTGGTAAAGGTTGGTGTGATTTAAACTTCTTCATATACTGCTGGGTAGATAAATACTTCATATTAATGTAATAACCTGTATAAAGTAGCCTACATTGGAAATACTCAAGTAAAGTACAAGTAGCGTGCAATCTTGGACTATAAACATACTTTTTGTGCATACGTTTAATGCATAAAATAGTTCAACTACTTTGAAAACATTATCAAACCATAATTTGGTAGCCACAGTGACCATAAGGACCCACCGTGACACAGGACATTTAAATGTTCTGGAAAGTTCCTTATACAGCTTTAGCCTTTATGTTATCTCATGAAGTCCCTCAGTGACACACCGTGAACAGTCTGGTGGGTCATGGGCCAGGTCATGTGATTTTGTGTTCACACAAACTCCCAGCCAGGCTGCGGGTGTGTGTGTGTGTGTTTCGGGCTGTGTCTCGCCGTCTCGCAGACGGCCACTGGGCTCACAGGGAGGGGGGGGGCAGGAGCTCCAACAAGCCGTTTAGGACAGAGAGTGAATACACATACTATACAGAGATGCTGTATAGAAACCAATGTGAGTTTGGAAAATTGCACAATATAAATCTATTTTAGTAGACCTCAACAATGGAATTATGATCAGTAGAAATGGCCATGACATGGGACCTTTAAAGCCCAATGTGACATATATGTCACTTTTCAGATATTAGACACTAGGGGGGGTTACTTGTCAGAAATGTGTTTTAGGTGGTCTATTTAGTCTAAATTATGTTCCCCTTAATTTCCCAAAAGTAGAAATGGGTCCGGGACCCCCTTGGAGCAATACCATCTAAGAAATCTGAATATTATCATTCTGCATTATAATAATAAATCAATATCACATATGTTATAATAATACACAATCGTGATCATTCAATGCATGAAAACCCAGTCTCATGTTGTGTGTGTGTGCAGGTGTTTCTGCGTGGAGTGTGTGGATCTGTTGGTGGGGACGGGCTCTGCGGCGGTCGCCATTAAAGAAGATCCCTGGAACTGCTATATGTGCGGATCGAAAGGCGCCTACGGGTTGCTACGGCGACGGGACGACTGGCCCTCCAGACTGCAGATCTTCTTCGCCAACAACCACGAACAGGACTTTGTGAGTCGCCCAGTTTACAACAACTTCGATTATAATAATTTATACATATCATCTTTGTCATAGAGAGAGGGGTAAAGATGAGTTGTGACAATCTATTCAGATGTTTTAGCAATATATTGCGTACAATATCTCACTTAAAGGTCACCTATCATGCTATTTTTAGGCAATAGCATAGGTCTCAGATATATAAACATATATAAAAAACATGTCTATGAAGTGTTTTGCTCAAAATACCAAACAGATCACCCATTCTAGCCATGCCTCATATCCCTCTATTTCACTTCCTGTTTCAAAAGTGCTGATTTTGAAAAAAAAAGAATTGATCAAATAAAAAAGGAGGGGTCTGAGCTCATGGGGGACCCGGCAGCTACTGTCTAAACTAAATACTGCGGTGATGAAACGCCATATCATGGATTATCAAGGATTATTTCTGAAACAGTATGGAGCTCAAAGGCTTTCTCTCTTGCCGGTTATACCACAAGGTGAGTTCCTTTTTATTTCCTGCTTCTTCACACACATGCTCTCCAGTACAGGTTAGCTCTGAGTGTTAGCGATGCTAATGTAAACATGCACCGACCATATTACGTCCAAAACAGTCGGGCATTGTTTCTGATAGCAACTTTCTGATAGGGCCGTGGGTCCACATTTCAGATATGACGTCATATCGGACGCAAATCTGGATCAGCCCCGTTTTTAGAGATTTGGGTACGGAGGAAAAGAGAGAGGGTTTTCACTTTGGTGTTGTAAAGTTAATATATCCACTATCCTAATCAGATGAAACACTTCTCATTTAAAGTGGAAACATTAATATTTGGGGATCAGAGAGGCTTCTGCTCCAGCGCTCGTCAGCCATAAATTATCCACGAAGGCTAAAACATCCAAACAGACCGACATGTTCACAATCAATTATTGATGATCTGCACCCAGACTGTTTGCCAAAAGATCAGATAGTCATCTTGAATTAAGCTGAAGTGTTAATATTAATCTAATCTTGTTCACATAAATGTCTTTTCTTCCTTTTAATGTTGTCTGTTAGGAGCCAGCCAAGTTGTATCCTCCAGTTTCGGCAGAGAAGAGGAAACCAATCAGAGTTCTCTCTCTGTTTGACGGCATTGCCACAGGTACACATGCAGAAACTAACGATTATATTGATTGTTGTTGAATGTATTTAATAATAGAAGATTTCAGCTGCTCCACCATTTCCCAGACTCTAATTCATGAACAATTATTGTATTAACTTTTGACTTTTAATTTACTTTAATCATCACCTTAATTCGTCCAATACTTTGCTTTATGACCAAATTCCCAACTTCCTCTGGTGTACTTGCCAAAGCACCTGTGCTGTTCAGTGCTTATTGGCCAAAGTTAGCAAGCTATACCACGATGGTAAACATGGTAAATTATATCTACTAAATATCAGCATGTCATCATTGTCATTATGAGCATGTACGCATGACACCATAGATGTGTGTGAGACTGTAACAGAAATGAATTATCCCTCTTCATACTGCAGAATTATGTATTTATTTACGAAAATAGGGCTTATTTTTAGAGTAAAGACTTTTTCAAGAATGTGTATTTTTATGTGTGTGTGCAATCAGGTCTGCTGGTGCTGAGGGATCTGGGGATGCAGGTGGACAAATATGTTGCGTCCGAGGTGTGTGAGGACTCCATTACTGTGGGCATGGTCCGACATCATGGCCGCATCATGTACGTGGGAGACGTCCGCAACGTAACACGCAGACATGTGAGTCAATAACTGTTCAACCTTATGGGGACATCTCAGACCACCACACACATGCATTTAGTGGTAGATGCAGCATGAAAGGGATACACTTATTTCTTCTTACATGTTTGATCATTGTTACCCTTTCTTTATTGCTGATCTCAACTTATGCTTATAGATCGAGGAGTGGGGACCATTTGACCTGGTGATCGGAGGAAGCCCCTGCAACGACCTCTCGATAGTCAACCCTGCAAGGAAAGGGCTTTTTGGTAAGTGTTAGGAAAATCTCACTCGTCACCGGCTTGAGCTTCAATCTCAGGATCCATGTATTTCTGATCCTCTCCAGAATGGAAGTAGTCATCACATACAGAGCATCAACTAGTTCCTGAGCAGTGTCCTTCACATGCTGATATACAAGAGAGAGGGTTACACAGTCACAAGATGGAGGAATAGAAAGCAGTATTCAATGTTTAGTTCAGATTAGCTCCACATCAGAAATGATCATGCTTGTCATATGTCTATCTCCATAGAGGCTGAATCATCATGTTAATCACATAGCTATCATATGCCTAAAACAGTCCTGATGCTCTTCTAGCTAATCACACATCCTGTCATGTACACAGCTACAGTTGGGATACCTTTGTTATCACATGTACTCTGATATTGGAAGAGTACATTCAGTATTTTCCCAACAGTAAGAAATGTTACTAGCTTTCTAAACAACCGGATTAGATTTGAACTCAAGTGTCATGTCTCGAAATGTGTCCTACTGCAAGAAGTCATTATTCATTACAGTTCATTACATTACAGTTTACAATGATTGTGCATTTACACATGCTCAGGGTCCCTAAAGCTCTTTGTGTAAAATTCAATTTGGGGCTGAACTTTCTCTCTCCTCCCTGCAGAAGGGACTGGTCGGTTGTTTTTTGAGTTTTACCGCCTGCTGCACGAGGCTCGACCAAAAACAGGCGACGTACGTCCGTTCTACTGGCTGTTTGAGAATGTAGTCGCCATGGGAGTCAGCGACAAAAGGGACATCTCCCGCTTCTTAGAGGTACAATGGCATGAACACAGTGACTAACAACAGCTTTAAAGGTCACCTATTATGCAAAATCCACTTTGTCATGTCTCTTCTACATCAGCATGTGTCCCCTCTGTGGAAAGAGACTCTGAAAGTTTCAGGAACAAAGATTCTCTCTCTTTTTGTCCTGATCCATTTATATAAAAACCTGTCTGAAAATGAGCTGATCAGATTTTGCCCACTTTATGATGTCATAACGATATTTTGGCTTGTGTAACCATTAGCCAATCAGCAACCAAGGTAACCCCCCCCCACCTTATCACCTGAATCTCCTCCTAGAGCTGTGTTCTTTGTAACCAAATATCTCTCAGAGGGGCGTGGGGAGGGGCTCCTTATTTTCATCTAAAGTAACAGACACAGAATCAGCACTTTGGAAACAGGGCTGAAACAGAGGGGATTATGGGATGCTGCAATGATCTGTTTGGTGTTTGGAGCCAAACACTTCAGAGACATGTTTTGTATATATCTGAGAGCTATAATATATTGATGAAAAACAGTATAATAGGGGATCTTTAAAATATATGCATATAAGTACATATGTAATGAAACAGGAAGTAACCCTGCTTCTCCTCTCCAGTGTAACCCGGTGATGATCGATGCCAAGGAGGTCTCTGCCGCCCACCGCGCTCGCTACTTCTGGGGAAACCTGCCCGGCATGTCCAGGTGAAAACACACACACACACACACACTTTTCATTTTCTTGAATATTAAAGAGCTGAATTTGAACGTTATTACTTAATGCTATAACTGTCGATAAAAAAAATCCTATAATCTATGAATGAATTACATTTTTCATGCTGTGCTTTGAATGTGAGCTCCTGATTTTGTATGTATTGTCATTTTATTTTTGTTTCTTCTTTTGTCTAATTGTGCTTATTACTGTCATTGAGAAACATCCTTCAAAAACGTAATGTTTATCCCTAATAATGAATTTAATTTAATTTGTTCTCCTTTTTTTGACCACCCTACAGACCTCTGACAGCCATGTCGAATGACAGGTTGGACCTACAGGAGTGCCTCGAGCACGGACGTACAGCCAAGGTTAGCCTCCTCTACGAGTGTGTGTGTGTGTGTGTGTGTATGTGTATAAGTGTGTATGTGCTTTTTATTGAATGGTACCTAACCAGTTTGGGTATTGAATGTTACTTTCTTTTTGATCGGCAGAAAAACTGATAACAAGAAAAAAGTTTGAACCTTTTTGCCCACCACCCATGTTGGTGGTTGGAAGCACATTTCCACCACTTAAAGAAAAAAAACAATATGAAAACCAAGCCTTGTAATGACAAATAAAAAGATCCAGTATATCATAATAACAACTTATGATGACTTACTATCACAAAACAATAACTCAGTATTGCAACATTAAAGGTGGGGTAGGTCATTCAATTCAGAAACACTTGTTGTTATATTCCATGGAATGCTCTTAACATCCCGACAGCAATGAATAAATTAAATGCTTTGACAATAAATACATAAAAAAATGTCATCTGTGGAAGCCGTGGCGCTGTAAAAAGCACGACCAATCATCTGAGCCGGCCCGGCTAAAATAACTGGATGGCCTACCTGCCTGTCAGCGTTCCATCTGTGCACAAACTTATCTCGTGCCCTCATTGGTCATGTGCGCGTTCGTGTGTGTTGGAGGAGGGGCTCTGTAAGGAAGTCTGAAGGAAGGGGCAGATTTTTTCCTGTTGTGTACTTTCAAAATCTAGCGCACTCGAGCTGGTTTCTCCATTCTTACCTACCCTACCTTTAATTACATACTATCTAAAAATAACAAGTTTATTAAGAAAAGTAAATCCATCTGTATCTTTTACATACAGATCTTTAATTCATCACATGGGTGGAAATGGGCCTCTACACAGTGTTGTCAAACAATGAACTTGTATGCCTGCAGTATTCAAGAGTTTATGTCTAGGTTATATGGAAATTGTAAAATAGGAAATCCATTGATGTCCATTCTAAAGGCTTCTGTCTCATCTTTTCTTGCTCTTCCAGCATGAGGAATTGTCAGTCAATTTTCTCGCTAACAAGATGTTGACTTTATATTTTTTACATCACAACGCATCAAATAACTCTGCTTTACAAATCAACGATAGCTGTAGTTTTAAAAAGGCTGTGTGTGTGTCTGTTTGTGTTTTTTGCGTGTGTTTGGTTCTGAATGCTAATTCCAGTTTGAGAAGTTGCGTACGATAACGACACGCTCCAACTCTGTGAAGCAGGGGAAAGACGAGCATTTCCCCGTCTTCATGGAAAGCAAGGAGGACATCCTGTGGTGCACCGAGATGGAAAGGTACAGTGTGTGTGTGTGTTTGTTAAAAGTCTCTGACATGTGTGTTTCTGATCTGCATTGTTTGAATGTCAATGTAGTAAACTATTACTTTTGTGCAACATTTAGAGAGTTTCTGAGTAAAAAAACTATTTCAAATCAAATATATATTAAACGCTAAATGGTTTGCTGATTTTGACCAAAGAATATTTGTTTTTATAAACAACCAGATTAGATTTTGACTAAAGTGCTCTCTGAAATATCAGAAAAAAGGCCTTCTCAATATCCTATTCCCCAAAAAGATGTCTTCAAATGTCTTTTGTTTCTTCGTCCAATAGTTTAAACCAAAAAAATAATCCAATCTACAACAATGAAATATGTTTAAAATCTAATTCAATCAGAATCAGAATTTGTTTTTATTCCAAGTAGGTTTTCACATGCAAGGAATTAAATGTTGTGTATAGGTGCTTACATGAAAACAAGGATAAATACAAATTGAAAATAAGATAAATATTGAAAAGAAAAGGGAAAAATATTTGAAATAAAAAATGTTTAAGATAAAAATCTGTTCAAGAAACATAAATATACAGAAAATACAATAAAGAATGAGAGAGCTATGTTTTAGAAGGCGAAGTATTGTTTGGAAACGGGCAACATTTTAATTTAAAATCCTGTGTGTGTGTGTGTGTGTGTGTGTGTGTGTGTGTGTGTGTGTGTGTGTGTGTGTGTGTGTGTGTGTGTGTGTGCGTGCGTGCGTGCGTGCGTGTGTGTGTGTGTGTGTGTGTGTGTTTGCAGGGTGTTTGGTTTCCCCGTCCACTACACCGACGTGTCCAACATGAGTCGTCTGGCACGTCAGAGGCTGCTGGGACGGTCCTGGAGCGTCCCCGTCATCCGGCACCTCTTCGCCCCGCTCAAAGAGTACTTCGCCTGCAACTAGTCACGCACCAACTCTCTCACACACACACACACACACACACACACACACACACACACACACACACACACACACACACACACACACACACACACACACACACACACACACATTTAACATACAGCATACAGCTAGTACATGAGGGTTGGCTGACGCAGGATGACACAGATGACCAGACATACTCATATACAGGCCTGTCACAATAACTACAAAATATAATGTCCCAGAAATAATGGCTATAAACCATATTAATGTCATTTTAGGACTATTTTAAGCCACAGATATACTGATAATATAAATGAATAATAACATGCAACTACACACCGTTCCAAAGAGGTAACCATTTTTTATTATAAACAATATTTCAAGGAATAAGTTAACTTCTAATATATCCTTATTAAAATATAAGATTAATTCATTCACACCACAAAACCCTGCTGTTATTCTGGCATCATGTAAGCTGAAATGTTGTTGACATTATTTATTTATGCAATTAATAAACACGTGTAGAAACAGCCTATATGGCCGTAATCAAAACATTTTTGGAGGTCATGTTCATAAATCATACGATAGTCAATAACGTTATTATTGTGACAGGCCTACTACACACACACACACACACACACACATACATACATACATACATACATACATACATACATACAAACTAACACAATAAAGGACTGCTTCCCTGGATCCCATGTAGACCACTGGCTGACCTTAGTCCCCTGGTGCTACCTTTCTGATTCTACACACACACACACACACACACACACACACACACACACACACACACACACACACACACACACACACACACACAAAACTGGTGCAGGGTGTAATGTCCTGTCTTCTCAACACACACTCTTCCCTCCCGACCTTGAAACTGGTGTCTTCTTCTGGCTTTACTGTGTGAGGTCAAACCTCCGGGGGGTTGAACGCTGACAAAGACGCCTGACTTTCTGTTTCTGACTTCTCTCTGAATACATCTACACACCAGAGAGTCAAACTGTAACTGTTTCCATGCGTAGGGATAGTGCTGCTGACAAATATACAAAAACACACACATCAGTTAACAATCATGGTGCTGGTCAGGCAGTATTAGAGTTCAAATGGTGCCGCTTTCATACACTTTTAAATACAAGATGTTGGTGCTCGAGGTGACCGAATGCTCTCTGGTTGTTTCAGTCGCTGAAGTTTTTCTTCCCTGACTTAGATGAACTATCTATTGCAAGCAGGTGGGAGCAACACTAAGCAAGAGTGCTGACATTTTAAGATATATTTATGTGGCAAAAAAGAGTCCAAAAGAAAAATGCAATTATGGACAGTAGGATTTGTAAGAAGCCTTTTTTTTTACGTAACTTCTACTAAATTGTAAATAAGATTAGCAAATGCTTTGGGTAATATACGATCATATTCTGTACACTAGTCATATTTTAAGAATTTGTTTATTCCCACTTGTACTACAAAATGTGGGTGTTTTCTGACCCAAACATCTTACATGAATGAATCCAGATGAGATTGTTTCTGCCTCTAGAGGCCAATTGCCTCTGAGAAATATTAGACAAAAGAAAATACTTTTTAAATAGCTCAGTGTTGTGCTCACAGAAGCATTTAAATGAAAAGGAAACAAATCAAACCTGAACCCTTATGGTTACTAATCAGCTTCTCTTGCAGTTACGCTCCTACTTTGCTTCATAGGGATCCAAACCGTCCTCCTGTTATCTCAGCGACGTTCACTAAAACCAGAGGCAGACCTTCACTCTGTAGACACTATGCTGGATTTCTACTTCCTACGACTGAAACAGACAGCCCTGTGTCATGAAATAAAGGATACTTCCTCACATCACACAGATTTGAATGCCCCACCTGTTTTGGGGGGTTTCTTCTGCCTTTTTCCCCAAATGTTGGGATACAATCTGGGACTTGGTACAAGAGAAAACAAGTAAAGATAACTTAATATTTCAAGAGACTCTTGTACACATACAGGCTATCCCTATAATGTTCAGGAACATTTCCTACATGGGGTCATGTGTGAATTACTATTAAAATACCCCTCTCCTCACCTACCATGTACCTGAAAATAATGAAAGACGTCTTCCACCGTGTGCATGTACATCCAGACACTTTTATTCCAGCGTGTGTGAATCGGCGCAAAATGGAAATGTTCCTGAATGTAGTGAATATTGAAAGTGTGTCCCAGTAATTTAACGTTAAACGACTCCCAAAATACCAATATTTTATTTACACAGGGCTGTCTTTTAGAGAAACCATCTCTTCAGTCTGGTGCTTTTAGTCCTCAGGCGACAACTTCCTCAGATACCAGCTGACAACTGGACACATAAAACACACACATACACACACACACACACACACACACACACACACACACACACACAAACACAAACACACATTTACAATAACTAACAATAAACCAGCAGGTTCAACCTTTTTTCCATCATGTTTACTCTGCGTTTATACAACCAACCTTCAGGTGCTTTTTAAAACTCTGTAAACTCTTTTTTAACATCGTTCTCGCAGGGTACACACACATACACACACATACACACACACACACACACACGTGCTGGAAACACAGTGCCGTCTTAAAGCTTTCTCCTTCCACTACAAAACATCAACACACATGCATACACACTGTGTTTTTGCCGGCCGCCTGTTGCCATCAGGCTTGGTGCTCCAGACTCCCCCCCCTCCCCTCCCCCCTCCCCCCTCCCCCCAGGTGCTGCATGTCAGTCAGTCAGTGTAATCTCTGAATCCATGTTAGATTAGGGAGTAATGATAATAATAATCATGGTAATAATAATTACAATAATAATCTGTTATCGTGTGTGTGTACTGTTCCAGGTTGGTGCTCAGTTCAGTCTCAGCCTAGAGGGGAAGGAGAGGCTCGAGAAAGCATATATTACAGTTAGTATAGTGACTTGTTCTATTGTACCCAAGGATGCCGAAAGACGTTGTCGAAGCAAACTCTCAAACAACAGCGGGTTGAAATGACACAGAATGGAGTTGTGTGGATGACAAAATATAGAAAAATACACAGAAATCCCAACATCTGGGGAAAATTAAAGTAAATACAAAGTTTGCCAACAGGATAGAAACATAACGTTTTTATTTGGAAAACATAAATATCATTGTAATAAGTTGAGTTTCCTGAAATAATAATATAAACATATACACATTTTGACAAGCAGAATCATTTTGTGTGATTTCAACACGTCTCTTTGAGAGTACAGATGGATTAAAGCAAGAGGAATGGAGGCGATATTTTCAAGCGATGGGTGACTCGGTGATGGTGTTTCTGTTTGCCAGCTTTTGGGCTGAGTGATGCGCCGTTTTCAACACTGATACACTTACAAACATAAAACTCACAAAACATTGTTATTAACAAACACAAATGCAGAGATACACGCACAACATGGACACACATACAAGGCTGTGGCGCATGCAGACACTCATCTCATGGACTTAAGGAAAGATGAGCTTTTAGGAAAAAGGAGGACATGGTGGTGTTTCAAAGGTGCTAAAATTTTATCTGAAAATAAGAAAAATATATTGTTAGGAGTATAAATCAAGTTTGTCTTTACAATGACTGTATTTAAGTTTTGTCGTAGTAATGAAAAGGCACTATTATTATTTTACTCTTGTATGAATATGAACTAATTAAAAAGGCATTTTAACTTTGTACTTGAACAATGTAAGAAATGAACCGTGAATAAAAAAAGGACTGTTTCTTGTGATTACGTGTTTTCTACCTTTCTGTCAATTAAGGGTTAGATTTCCATTTGAGTTTTTGCTATTGTTTTCAATATCAGTCCAAGTGTAAGCTATATTAGGAATATTTTCATCGTTTTATCTTTCCATCAGAATCAGTTTATTGCCAGGTAGATTCTTACATACGAGGAATTTGACTTGATGTCATGGTGCATACATAAAATATAAAACAAAAACTCCATATAAAACAAAAAATATTTAAGGACACTGTAATAAAATATAGTTAGATAGCAATACAATAAAGCAGTAATTTACAGCGAAATAGAATGCAGTGAATCATAGAATATAAAATAAGAAATACGTTATCTCTGCTCCTGTCTCAGCCACCAAACTCCATTTAATTTGAAATAGCATGACTACCTCTGTTGCTGGTCTACATCTCCCTTGATTAGTCATGTAGTTTGTGTTAAAGTGTGGGTTTTGTTACTTCAGATTCATTAAAATCACACAATGTTTTGAGCTACAAATTATTGTTTTTGTCAAATGAGTCTGGTGGTTTTGAAGAGGGAACAGATAACAGCTTGAGGGCTGTGTGACAGCAAGTAAGTGTTACAATATTGTAAATATAGCATACAAATAAACTGATGTTCATTTCTTTAGGTGACTATAATATGTTTTGCAGCTGCACCCCTTCCAAAGATATATATTGCTTTTCACGTGCCGGTACACCTGTCTGTTTTTCAAAATTTGAGGTTGATTATTTATCTTACTAGGTGTATAATTCAATAATTTAAAAATAAGTAATCAAAATACTGTGTACTGTGAACCTATTATATTTTGCATCTGGTGCATTGGTAGTCAATTATAAATCAGTTGACACCTGTAACAATCCTCTGTTCATGTTGCTTTTACCTTTTAATTGTAGTTAATACCTTTAGTCATTGCGAATATATCGCTATACAATATATATCACACTAAACACAGTATGTCCGACAGCATTTGAAGGCAGCATGAGTCTCAGAAGACAGGGACACGCCCCTGTCTTCTGTGCAGAGGAGACCCCTTCGGTAGCAAATTCTCGCTTCCTATTGGTCGGTTTTTCCGTTACCCAGGTAGAACAGGCTCCTGATTGGCTGCTGGCACTGAAGCATCTGCGGCTCGCGCTGTGCCAGCTGTCCTCGCTCACTCGGCTGGTGCTGGGCAACGGTGAGAAGCTAAGGCAGAGGAGGATCTGAGAATCTGAAGAAATAGGGTAAGAAGCCAAAGAATATGTAAAAAATAACCTGTCATGGACTATTTCTGTAAATACAGTAGTGTTTGACAAGAATACAACATGATGTATCATCGATATTACAATTTAGACCCTTAAAATGATTGATAATGTCTCGTCTAACGGTAATAACGGCATGGTACTAACGTTAATAACCGTTTATTTTGTACGTGGTACATTCATGTTACGTTAATATCAAGTGTTTTCAAATATTTTGGTCTTAATTTACCTTTTCAGTCATCTTATGATTCATCCCTCCCTCTGCATGTGAATGGACATTAATTAATGTAAGCCAAATCTTTATTGAATGATATTTAAAATGACATTGTGTGTGTGACAAGTCAAGTGATGCTAAATCAGGAGAAACATGGACGAAGATTGGTCGTATGTCGTAAGCATCGTTTACCTTTGGGCGACATATGCGTGAGTGTGTGTGTGTATGTGTGTATGTGGCGTGCCATCAGTGCAGTATGTGTGTGTGTTGGTCGTTATGTAAGTGTGATATTCGCGATCGATGATGAGAATCGTCATGCATACAAACGATGATGTGTGTGTGTGTGTGTGTGTGTGTGTGTGTGTGTGTGTGTGTGTGTGTGTGTGTGTGTGTGTGTGTGTGTGTGTGTGTGTGTGTTTGGGAACATAATGTGATTTGAACAGGTGATTTGATTTATTGTTTCACCACCTACTTTTGTATCACGGTTTTTGTTCTGCATGCAGGTTTTTCTGCAGGCCTGCTTTGGTTGGTGGATTTGAGCTTTTAAAATAATTTGGTTTAAGGATCCTCGAGGGTGCTTTATGGGGCTCCAGGGGTCCACAGTGCTGCACAATGAATTGAATATATTAGACACCATCTGAATCAAATGACGTAACCATGCTGTATTACATTAGGGTTGCATTTATTCAGCTGTAAGTGTGTAAATGTTCCTCAGGAATGTGCAGCATTATTTAGCACAATACAAGACCAATGCTAACAAACTCACTCAAAACTGTTTGTAATACCACCTCTGACTGAAAAGGTGTTTTTGTTGCTAGGGGAAACATTCTGGGCTGATCTAAATGTGTCATCTTCTGAGGAGCATGAATGTGCATTTTTTGGAGAAATGGCCAGAATATCCATTTAGATTATATAATCCTGATAGTAGAGGTGAAATGCTGCCCCTATTTCTTTGGAGCGTGTGGCTAGGCATTACACATTGCACCTTTTAATAGATAGTAATACAATAATAATATGAATCAGTTTATTCTGATATTTGTCCTGTTTGTGGCACAGTCTGAAAGGTCAAAGGTCAGACAGAAGCTCTTTCACAACTCTTCCATTTTGTCAGACGGGGAGTGAACTGAGACCAAAATAGATGAATAAAAGATGATGCCTATCTTTCCCAAAACTATTCAATTACAGTGTGACAAAAGAATGCATGTAGACTACACAGAGAAGGAGAGTGTGTGTGAGAGAGACTGCCCTAATCCTCTGAGCGTTGGCCTACTTAGTTATGCGACCGCTGTTGTTATTTTCTGTTTATCTGTGTGTGTGTGTGTGATTCACTAATGGCTTATTCATCCATGACCCCCCAGAAGCACACACACCTCTTTAAAACCTCATCCTCCTGTGTGTCTGATGTCTATTCTTACCTGCAGTGTGTTGAGAAGTTGTCTGATTCACATTTGTCCTGGATTTTTAAATAGCTCTACTGTTCACAAACACACACACACACACACACACACACACACACACACACACACACACCGGCGCACACACACACACACCGGCGCACACCTACAGTACACAAGCTCACACATAGGCAAGGTAATGAAACACACACACATATTAACTCTTGCACACACACTGTACACCGTCCCTCCT